TCCTACTATTAGACCCCACGATGTGCTGCAGGAAAGACTCGCATGGCCCACTACTGATCCTACTAAGGTGGACCATGACAACAAACTTCTAAGGTTTGCAGCTGCAGCACGTGCTGATGTGTTGCAGCAGCGCCACGACGACTAGAACCACCTCCATTCTATTCTGGCGATCGCCTCTGGCCTGCGCTGCGGCTGCGGGCAAGTGCGGGCAGCGTCATTGTCTACATCATCATCCAGATTTCAGGTTAGCAGCTTCTCCTGCGCCTCCAGCCACAGCAGAGTGGCACGGTCGCTGCGGGCTCGTCACGGGTGCCAGGCAGGAGAGAAAATTAACGTGGCATGGCCCACGTTTGTTGCAGAAGAATTTGAAAAGAAAAAATACAAAAGAAAAAGAAAAAGAACAAAAGTCAAAAAAGGAAGACAAAAAGAACCAATTCAAGAATTTGAATGTGCATTGCACGAAGAGAGCGATTTTTCAAATCGCCAAAAAAGACAAGAGCCATAAGGCCAATCCTAGGATGATGGCTGGCTGGCTGCTGATGCTTTGCTGGTCTGTGCCTTGCTGTGCTGCATTTGACACCAACAAGGACCTGGCCGCCAACCATGACGTCAATTACACCGGCCGCCCTGGATTGATTGTGGAAAATGCCACAACTCAGTCTAACGGCCCCCCAGAGATGACCCGCAACGTGAAAAAATGGCAGCTGACAATCGATGTGCCTCGCAGCGGGCGGCAGATTGCAGATGCGCTGAGCGAATATGGCTCCGTGGATGTGGAAGCTGGTTTCAGACTTTTGACGGAAGTAAGTGCAACTACTTTCGATATCCACCCCTACGGTTCTGGTTCTGACCCCTCAAAACGTAAATTCCCTGGGATCCTCAATGTGATTTTGGATTTGGTCGCTAGGTGTCACCATGGGAAGTTTGGATTTTACCCTCTGAATTTTGTTTCCTCCAAAATGTGGAATTTGGGTTTGGAATGGTGGAAAATTGGGTTTCGCCCCTGGGAATCTTTTCCCCTCGAAATGTGGAATTTTGAGATGGGATGGTTTGATGAAAAAATTCATTGGTCACCCTTTCTTATCTGGTTTTGTTTGGGCACCATGGGAGAAATTTGCGGCTGGTTGCTTAGGTACGGTGTCACTAAGCAATTTGTGCTTGCATGTCTCAAACGGGCTCAAGACAAACGCAAACGAAAACGAATCATCAAACGCTTGAAAAACAAACGCTCAGTGAAAAAATGCAGTGATCTCAAACGCTGTCAGAAGTTGTTGAAACCACATGTTGCATGTGCTGCTAGAAAATGCAGCACGCACAGACTCGGAAAAGCACGCCTGAAACACAGACGATGTGCTTTGAAGCTTCGGATGAGATGGACATATGTTCGAACCAATGGCATGGATGTTTCCCTGTCATACTCTTTCCTCTATTCGGGTTTTCCGAGACCCGAAGAATGGCCACTTGGATATGATGCACTGAGCTGGTACAAGCCTGATGCGAACAATTGCATTTTTGCCTCTGAGTGGTTGCAAGGTGGATATAAACGAAGGACGCAAAGGAAAAAGAATTACAGTGACAATGACAACGCCGCGGTTAGGAGTTTGATCCAAGGTTTGAAGGTATGTCTTAACCAAGGTTCTTTTCCGAAAGAGTTTGAATCCGTGATGTCCTTGTTAGGTCCAGTGGTCGGTCAAAATTCACCCAAAAAGATGTTTAAGAAAAAGAAAACGGTGAAACAGGAGCCCAAACCTGACCCGTCTAGACAAGAGCAGCTGCGGGACAACAAAGATGAAGACTACACCATTCTTGAGACAGGATGGTGGAAAATGAATGGTGCGTGGAAACAGTATTGCAGAGACCCACAAACAGGATGGTGGTGGTGGGACAAGCGTGGTGACAAAGTTACCACAGTGGACCACAACCCCAGACATAAGGAAAAGAAACAAGACACTGAGGTTCACAAACCTCAACAGAATACTCCAAACCTTGCCAAGGTGCGAGCTCTCAACCCAGTTGAATGGAACAAGCCAATCAAACTTGTGGATGCGCAAACAGTTTGCCAGGCCATTAAGGAAGGAAAAGACTGGGATGGAAATATTTGCTGCAGTCATGACAGACAGGTCACCCAAGAACTTCGTGACTTGTACACAAGCTTTGGTTTCACGAAAGGACTCACTTTGGTTTTGTCAGCTGATGCAATGAATCAGCTTGGCATCACACTGAGCAGGACCAGGCTTCAAAGGACAAACCAACATGCCAAGGTCGAAGACATTGCCTTGCTCGGTTTAGGCTCTGACTACCCTTGGAGAACTCACCCTGTTAAAGTTGATCCCAACAATGTTACTACGGTTGAAAGGGAATTGGTCAGAATTGTCGTTCCCTCTCACTATAGAGAACTCTTTGTATCTGAACCCCAAAAGGAACGTGTCGTTGATGTCATTTCCGACTTGGCCACTTTTGGATGTCGTGCACATGTCCTCACAGGTGGCAGGTGGGAAAGACAGGAATGGCAGAAACAAAGTTCAAGTTTGGTAGGATGGCTTAAGCTCACCAAAAAAGATGCGGAAACCCTCCTGGAAAAATCAGGGAAAAAAGGTATTTTTATCAATAAGAATATTGATACCTCTAAGGAACGTCCGCATTTTGTGTGGACCAAACACGAAAAAGATGAAACCGATGAAGCATACTACCAGAGATGCCTTCGTCTTTCAGGCGAGAGAGGCCAGCCGATGTGCTTACGGAAAGGGTTGGGAAATGACATTGGTTTCACAAAGAAATCAGATGAAGACATCGAAAAGAAACCCAAACGAATTCAGATTTCTGGAGTTCCCAGGGACTGGATGGCGGAAGAACTGGTTGATTTCCTCAAACAACAAGGATGGACCCAAATGACTATTCACAATAGAAGAAGGGTCAACAAGAAAATTTTTTGGAACGCCTGTGGAATGCCTCCTGTTGCATACCCATACGACCAGGGTCTTTGGGTGTATGAAGGTGCCACTGTGTTTACCATAATAGTCAACGACTCGGTCCATAAACCTGCAGCGCCAAACAGCACCACTGCAGTCAGAGGACCAAGGAAGACATGGGATGAAATTAAGGATCAGCCTCCACAGACGGCCAACACGCGGGGGCGCCCCGCGAAGAGGCAGGCCAAAGAACCCGATGAGCGACATCGGTCCAGATCTGCCGCTGAGAAGCCCGAAAAGGGCGATGAAAATAAGGACCCAATGGAAGTCGAAAAAACGCAGTTGGACTCTCAGACTCAGCCTGAAGCGATTGACAAGCAGAGTTCAAAGCCAACCTCGCAGTCTCTTGGTAATTTGACGGATGCCTTAACCCAAAACTGGACGCTGGCCGATCAAGGTGGATGCGGTGACTGTGGGTACCGGCATTAATAGACAACTTTCATTATCAAACCACTGGTGAGACTCTTTCCAAAGAAGAATGCATCAAAAATGCCAATCTATTTCGTACGGAAGTGGTACGACATGTTCGCAAACATCAAGATAGGTACGAAAACCATGTCAGAGGTGGGAAAGAGGCCTTTCCTGCCTTTTGTGACAATGCGTTGAAGCAAACTCACTGGATATGTGGACTGCTGCTGCAAGCAGCAGCAGAGGTGAAATCATGCTGCATAGTGGTGTGGAATCAAAAAGATGAAGTTCTGGAAAGATTCACTTTCGCTCCTGAGTGGAGTCCACAGGGGATGCCCAGAATGAAAAAAGAAGCACCAATCCTGGTGGTGTACAGAAACGACAAACATTATCAATCCGTCCGACCACCCCAGGATCAGGACGGCATGACTAAGGTGCCCAAACACTGGGCGCGAGAGACAGCCAAACCCGAGGCCGAAGCACTTGGAGGCGCTGGACCAAGCGTTGGAGAATCGCCTAAAACCCTGCACACGCTCTCCCCTGGCTCTTCCCATGCTCCTTCGCTCCATACTCTCCCCGCCTCCTCCTTTCGCGGATCCTCGGGTGGGGGTGTGATGATCACGCGCGCGCCGTCCCTGCACTCCTTGGTTCCTTCCGCGTCTTCTCCTCCGCGTCTGCGCGCGGTTGTGCACGGCCATGCGGCGGGTGGTGGTTCTTCGGGTGCCCTTGCGCGACCCCATCCTCCGCGCTCCCCCTCTCTTCTTACCTTGGCTGCCTCCCCTCACTCCTGCGAACCTCCGCGTGCTGCCATCAAATCCCAGCAGTTGCAGCATCCGAGTGAAACGGTTGCAAGACCATTCAAAAGATGCAGGTTCAAGCAAAGCAGTTGTGACTCAAGGATTGAAGACATGAAGTTTCTTGCACCCTCTGAGAACGATAAAGCTTCGGTTTTATCTTTAACCTCAGAAACTCACCTCAATTTGACAGACAACCTGACCAAGGACCGGTCGGGTACTAAGGACAAAGGCGCAGTCAAAAATGACAACACAGAATGCGACTTTCGCCCTGACACTGCTCCATATCCTCGACACCTCAAGCGGCTGGATGCTAAGACGCTTGCCAAACCGCAAGGACCTCAGGTATGGGTTTGTCCGCTGCCTGACTGCCGGCATGAAATCAGAATTCCTGCAGGTTTGCAAGCGAGAGCCAAGCTTCAAGCTGCAAAAAGTTCACACCTGAAAAATAGACATACAGATTCCGAAAGAGCTGAATGCCCGCGACTCGGTGCTCAAACTCAGATCACAGTCCCGACCTCGGAACTTCCTGAAAGTGGCAGAGCCTGGAGTTGCCCAGAATGCGGGAAAGGACTCCCACTGTTGCCAAAAGTTTGGCACGAAGCTAGTGTCCGCAAACATTTTGCCGAGGCACACCCTGACACAAATCCAACTCAGGCGTACAGGAAGAAACAAAGAACTGACAAAGGCCTTCGAGCTCGTATGAAACTGCGAGGCAGACATATAGGTCAGCTCAAACAACAGAAGGTCGCTGACAACCTGAAAGTTGGGCTCCGCAAACGGGGCATGATGTTCGCCAAATTCTTCTCAAACATAACCCCAAAGAAGAGAGACGCAAACTTGATTTGACGTCCGTGCTTGTTTGTGCCAAATGCAGACGAAAAGGGACACCATGTAGATTCAAAACCACCGCATGCACTGATGAAACTCAACCTATCCCGACTCAATTGCTGGGTTGGATCCGAAACATGGCTTTGCGACACCCTGCGAACCAAGGTGCCATCAGAAACGGACTTGGTATGACTGAAGCCGAGGTTGCAAATGCAAACTTCCAAACCAAAAAAAGAGTCAACGGTAAAGGGCCAGCCAAGTGGCTTAGCGGTCCGTTTGCCACCACTTTTCAGGCGGCGCAAGCTGCAGGGCACTTAGTTACTGAGGTCCTTCCGCCGGATGCCATGCGCCACCCGGACTCCACTGCTAAAAAGTTTCCCAAGGGATACCTGACCTGTAAAATTTGCCACAAGGTTAATCCACTTGGTGCTGTCAAAATCTGGACGAATCCATGCCTGGGACATGATCCCACCTCCAAAGGTTTCCAGTCTCAGAAAAGATATTGGCAGTCTTTAACTAAAACCCAAAAAAAAGCCCTCAGTCAAGCATGGGGGAAGACTCTGCAGCAGGGGGAGGAGCTTTTTGCCTCCCAATCCTCCAACAAGCGCAGCCGTAGAGCCAAAGAACATGACCATAATGATAAGGTTGCTGTGAGAATTGGTGAAGCGTCCCATCCAGGACCAAGATCACGAAAATTGCGCAACTTGGATCAACATGTGTCAGTTTGGACATGCAACACTCAAGGACCCAAACAATCGTGGACCTTACAACAGCTGCTCCAAACCCAGGAGCAGGCACCTCAGATTGTGCTGCTTCAGGAATGCTCTTTTAGCCAGGCTGAATGGACCACATTTCAAAAAACTTGTTGGTCTGTGGGGTACAGAAGTTTTTTCTCCGGTGCGCAAAGCACCGTCAATCGACACTACGGAGGAGCTGCAGTCTTGGTTAAATCTTCACTACCTTGTAGACCGGCCTGGTCACACACTCACAAAGGAGGTAGTGCCCAAGCTGTGTGGGTGGGATCAACTCTGGTCATCTCCACTTACCTGGCTCCTAACAGTGATGCAGAAACCGTGAGTGCAGCTGTGGCTCAAACTGTCCACTCTCTCGCTCCAAGACATCGTTTTATTTTGGGGGGGGATTACAATGCCACACCCGAAGAGAATCCCTTTCTTCATTTCTTGATTCCTAGGGAATTTCGTATTCATGCCACTCAAACCCCAACGCGGTGGCAAGGAAACCGCGATATTGACTACTATATCAGTAACCTTGAGCCCACTGAGGTCGAAACGCTTCCTGATGTTGTAGCCGACCACAAAATTGTCAAAACTTTTTTCGATTTATCTACCGAACCTGTTTTAGGTTTCCAACAAGCCAACATTCCTAGAATCCTCCCGAAGGACCCGGAAGTTGCTGAACGAATCCAAATCAAATTGGCTCAGCTCTGGCCGCAGTTTTCCACACAACTTCCAGAGCGATGGTCAGTCAATGTTGACCAGGACTGGCAGATGCTTTCGCAAACTTTTTTTCAAGCCCTAGTTTGTGCAGTCAGGGCTGCTGCCCCTGACATGCTGCAGCGAGTGTCTCCGGCCTTACTGAGGAAAGGAAAGGCCACTGAGGTCTCTCTTAAACAGAAAGAACACATGAAACGACATCCTGCTGGAGCTATGGCTACTCACCGCCAAAGAGTTCTGCGCAGATTGATTGGAAGGTTGCGGGAAGCCCAGCGAAACTTGGATCAAGACAGGCAAAATATCACTGAAAGCCGAGTTCTCTGGAATAAAATCAGACGGTGTTCTATGTACAACCATGATTGGGGTATACAAAGAACCTTCGGCATCTTGAAACGCTTTTGGAACGGTTCAATCATGAAGATGACTACACCAGACTTCAACGATGGAGAAACAACATGGAACATGACAAGGCTGCATACAGGTGGCTGCGACATAGATCTGTTCCCATGTGCAATGCGGTTAAGAAAACCAAAGACTCTGTTCCTAGTCACTCCACCCAAGACAGCCTGAGGATTCTCAGGGAATTTTGGGCCGATATTTGGAATAGACGTCAAATCTCTTGGGATGATATTTGGGATGATTTGGTTACTCACACTCCACCACGCCCTGCTCCTGACAGCTGGCCAAGCCTCACACCGGAACAACTCCGTTCTGCCACCAAGTGTAGCCGCGGCAGTGCGCCGGGGCTTGACGGCTGGAGAGCTGAGGAACTTAGTTTGTTCAGTGACGAAATGTGGCAGGTCATGTCCGGGTTCTATGATCATTGTGAAGAGCTCGGAAACATTCCTACCATATGGCGATGTGTTCGCCAAGTGCATATCCCGAAAGGGAAGCCACCTGAAGCTGACGGCAGCATGCTGGCGGACAACATGCGTCCCATAGCTGTGATGTCGATAATCTGGCGAATCTGCAGCCGAGCCAGATTCAAACAAACTGAGGTTCAGGAATGGATCCACACATCCACCCCCGAATGCATGTTTGGGGGAATTCCCCAAAAAGGTGTTGAGGATGCTATCTCTCACATAATCCTCAAAGACATGCATAGCTGGCCGGTTGGTACACTTGACCTGACAAAAGCTTTCGATTATTCTGACCCTGAGATAATCTGCAAACTCTTTGTCCACCAAGGTATGCCGCGCAAAGCTGCACGCATGTTGTTAGCATGTGGAGCGAACAAATCCGTTTTCTTCAGCTCCATGACGAATTTTTCCCAAACAACCATGTTGTCAAGCGCTCCCTGCCGCAAGGTGACTGCTTTAGCATGTTAGGCATGTGTGTTTTGCTTACTCCCATTGCCAATCACATTCAGAGAAAATACCCTTGTTGCGTTCAAGCTTTATATGCCGATGATCGTTCTTTCACTTGTTCCACTGCGACTGAAATATGGCAAGTTCGAAATGAATGGCATGTTTGGAGCAATAAGGTTGGTCTTCAAGAAAACCCCACCAAAGAGCAATATTACCACCGCAACGTTCAAGGTTGCCGATCTCTCGAGGATGCCGGCTGTCCTCCAGAAACAGTTTCCACTTCCATCACCTTGTTGGGATTCCAGTTCATGGGAGTGACCCAAAGAAAAGCCAAAGACCGAGAACTGACAAGACTCACTGAGGCCAAAGAAGTTCTTCGAAAATGTAGGTGCCTCCCAGGTTCCAAAACACGTAAAGCTGCAGTTGCCAGGGTTTGTGCCCCAGCAAAAGCAAGTTGGGGATGGCTGTTTCGAAGACCCACTCATGCTGAAAGCAACGCTTTCTTTCAGGGAGCAAAAGCGCTGCATCAGTGGCCAAAGCAGTCAGCCGTACCTTTACTCCAAATTTTTACTGGCCATTGGTGGGACTTAGGTTTTGCTGCCACGGTTACGACTCTCCGAGTCCTCACCCGCTATGTTCACAAAACACAGATGCAGTTGCAAAACTGGCCACCCAAAATGAGTGGCTGGACGGGTAGCTTTAGAAAAGGCATGCAAGAACTTGGGTTCGCTGAGGCTGGTAGTTGGACCTGGACGCACCCGATGCTTGAAACTATTCAGATTCAACCAACCACGCTGCCTGAAAAGGCGACCGAAGTGCTGTCACATAGGCTCAGAGATGCTTGGCGAATCGGAAAATATGAGGAATTCTTGGAACTTGACCGACGCGACTCAACGGTTTGTGCAGACATTCCATGTGACCTGACCCGCATTAATATTCTGCGCAAGAAAAAACTCAACAGTCACGAACTGGCTGTTGTAACTGGTGCTTTCATTTCACCTCAATGTCGAAATGCCATGGGAGGTGCTGAAGAAACATGCCCTTATTGCCAACATGTTTGTGCCACTGTGCAGCACATGCTTTGGGAATGTACTCAGAACCCACACCGTGATCCTACTATTAGACCCCACGATGTGCTGCAGGAAAGACTCGCATGGCCCACTACTGATCCTACTAAGGTGGACCATGACAACAAACTTCTAAGGTTTGCAGCTGCAACACGTGCTGATGTGTTGCAGCAGCGCCACGACGACTAGAACCACCTCCATTCTATTCTGGCGATCGCCTCTGGCCTGCGCTGCGGCTGCGGGCAAGTGCGGGCAGCGTCATTGTCTACATCATCATCCGTAAGCAGCTTCTCCTGCGCCTCCAGCCACAGCAGAGTGGCACGGTCGCTGCGGGCTCGTCACGGGTGCCAGGCAGGAGAGAAAATTAACGTGGCATGGCCCACGTTTGTTGCAGAAGAATTTGAAAAGAAAAATACAAAAGAAAAAGAAAAAGAACAAAAGTCAAAAAAGGAAGACAAAAAGAACCAATTCAAGAATTTGAATGTGCATTGCACGAAGAGAGCGATTTTTCAAATCGCCAAAAAAGACAAGAGCCATAAGGCCAATCCTAGGATGATGGCTGGCTGGCTGCTGATGCTTTGCTGGTCTGTGCCTTGCTGTGCTGCATTTGACACCAACAAGGACCTGGCCGCCAACCATGACGTCAATTACACCGGCCGCCCTGGATTGATTGTGGAAAATGCCACAACTCAGTCTAACGGCCCCCCAGAGATGACCCGCAACGGGAAAAAATGGCAGCTGACAATCGATGTGCCTCGCAGCGGGCGGCAGATTGCAGATGCGCTGAGCGAATATGGCTCCGTGGATGTGGAAGCTGGTTTCAGACTTTTGACGGAAGTAAGTGCAACTACTTTCGATATCCACCCCTACGGTTCTGGTTCTGACCCCTCAAAACGTAAATTCCCTGGGATCCTCAATGTGATTTTGGATTTGGTCGCTAGGTGTCACCATGGGAAGTTTGGATTTTACCCTCTGAATTTTGTTTCCTCCAAAATGTGGAATTTGGGTTTGGAATGGTGGAAAATTGGGTTTCGCCCCTGGGAATCTTTTCCCCTCGAAATGTGGAATTTTGAGATGGGATGGTTTGATGAAAAAATTCATTGGTCACCCTTTCTTATCTGGTTTTGTTTGGGCACCATGGGAGAAATTTGCGGCTGGTTGCTTAGGTACGGTGTCACTAAGCAATTTGTGCTTGCATGTCTCAAACGGGCTCAAGACAAACGCAAACGAAAACGAATCATCAAACGCTTGAAAAACAAACGCTCAGTGAAAAAATGCAGTGATCTCAAACGCTGTCAGAAGTTGTTGAAACCACATGTTGCATGTGCTGCTAGAAAATGCAGCACGCACAGACTCGGAAAAGCACGCCTGAAACACAGACGATGTGCTTTGAAGCTTCGGATGAGATGGACATATGTTCGAACCAATGGCATGGATGTTTCCCTGTCATACTCTTTCCTCTATTCGGGTTTTCCGAGACCCGAAGAATGGCCACTTGGATATGATGCACTGAGCTGGTACAAGCCTGATGCGAACAATTGCATTTTTGCCTCTGAGTGGTTGCAAGGTGGATATAAACGAAGGACGCAAAGGAAAAAGAATTACAGTGACAATGACAACGCCGCGGTTAGGAGTTTGATCCAAGGTTTGAAGGTATGTCTTAACCAAGGTTCTTTTCCGAAAGAGTTTGAATCCGTGATGTCCTTGTTAGGTCAAGTGGTCGGTCAAAATTCACCCAAAAAGATGTTTAAGAAAAAGAAAACGGTGAAACAGGAGCCCAAACCTGACCCGTCTAGACAAGAGCAGCTGCGGGACAACAAAGATGAAGACTACACCATTCTTGAGACAGGATGGTGGAAAATGAATGGTGCGTGGAAACAGTATTGCAGAGACCCACAAACAGGATGGTGGTGGTGGGACAAGCGTGGTGACAAAGTTACCACAGTGGACCACAACCCCAGACATAATGAAAAGAAACAAGACACTGAGGTTCACAAACCTCAACAGAATACTCCAAACCTTGCCAAGGTGCGAGCTCTCAACCCAGTTGAATGGAACAAGCCAATCAAACTTGTGGATGCGCAAACAGTTTGCCAGGCCATTAAGGAAGGAAAAGACTGGGATGGAAATATTTGCTGCAGTCATGACAGACAGGTCACCCAAGAACTTCGTGACTTGTACACAAGCTTTGGTTTCACGAAAGGACTCACTTTGGTTTTGTCAGCTGATGCAATGAATCAGCTTGGCATCACACTGAGCAGGACCAGGCTTCAAAGGACAAACCAACATGCCAAGGTCGAAGACATTGCCTTGCTCGGTTTAGGCTCTGACTACCCTTGGAGAACTCACCCTGTTAAAGTTGATCCCAACAATGTTACTACGGTTGAAAGGGAATTGGTCAGAATTGTCGTTCCCTCTCACTATAGAGAACTCTTTGTATCTGAACCCCAAAAGGAACGTGTCGTTGATGTCATTTCCGACTTGGCCACTTTTGGATGTCGTGCACATGTCCTCACAGGTGGCAGGTGGGAAAGACAGGAATGGCAGAAACAAAGTTCAAGTTTGGTAGGATGGCTTAAGCTCACCAAAAAAGATGCGGAAACCCTCCTGGAAAAATCAGGGAAAAAAGGTATTTTTATCAATAAGAATATTGATACCTCTAAGGAACGTCCGCATTTTGTGTGGACCAAACACGAAAAAGATGAAACCGATGAAGCATACTACCAGAGATGCCTTCGTCTTTCAGGCGAGAGAGGCCAGCCGATGTGCTTACGGAAAGGGTTGGGAAATGACATTGGTTTCACAAAGAAATCAGATGAAGACATCGAAAAGAAACCCAAACGAATTCAGATTTCTGGAGTTCCCAGGGACTGGATGGCGGAAGAACTGGTTGATTTCCTCAAACAACAAGGATGGACCCAAATGACTATTCACAATAGAAGAAGGGTCAACAAGAAAATTTTTTGGAACGCCTGTGGAATGCCTCCTGTTGCATACCCATACGACCAGGGTCTTTGGGTGTATGAAGGTGCCACTGTGTTTACCATAATAGTCAACGACTCGGTCCATAAACCTGCAGCGCCAAACAGCACCACTGCAGTCAGAGGACCAAGGAAGACATGGGATGAAATTAAGGATCAGCCTCCACAGACGGCCAACACGCGGGGGCGCCCCGCGAAGAGGCAGGCCAAAGAACCCGATGAGCGACATCGGTCCAGATCTGCCGCTGAGAAGCCCGAAAAGGGCGATGAAAATAAGGACCAATGGAAGTCGAAAAAACGCAGTTGGACTCTCAGACTCAGCCTGAAGCGATTGACAAGCAGAGTTCAAAGCCAACCTCGCAGTCTCTTGGTAATTTGACGGATGCCTTAACCCAAAACTGGACGCTGGCCGATCAAGGTGGATGCGGTGACTGTGGGTACCGGGCATTAATAGACAACTTTCATTATCAAACCACTGGTGAGACTCTTTCCAAAGAAGAATGCATCAAAAATGCCAATCTATTTCGTACGGAAGTGGTACGACATGTTCGCAAACATCAAGATAGGTACGAAAACCATGTCAGAGGTGGGAAAGAGGCCTTTCCTGCCTTTTGTGACAATGCGTTGAAGCAAACTCACTGGATATGTGGACTGCTGCTGCAAGCAGCAGCAGAGGTGAAATCATGCTGCATAGTGGTGTGGAATCAAAAAGATGAAGTTCTGGAAAGATTCACTTTCGCTCCTGAGTGGAGTCCACAGGGGATGCCCAGAATGAAAAAAGAAGCACCAATCCTGGTGGTGTACAGAAACGACAAACATTATCAATCCGTCCGACCACCCCAGGATCAGGACGGCATGACTAAGGTGCCCAAACACTGGGCGCGAGAGACAGCCAAACCCGAGGCCGAAGCACTTGGAGGCGCTGGACCAAGCGTTGGAGAATCGCCTAAAACCCTGCACACGCTCTCCCCTGGCTCTTCCCATGCTCCTTCGCTCCATACTCTCCCCGCCTCCTCCTTTCGCGGATCCTCGGGTGGGGGTGTGATGATCACGCGCGCGCCGTCCCTGCACTCCTTGGTTCCTTCCGCGTCTTCTCCTCCGCGTCTGCGCGCGGTTGTGCACGGCCATGCGGCGGGTGGTGGTTCTTCGGGTGCCCTTGCGCGACCCCATCCTCCGCGCTCCCCCTCTCTTCTTACCTTGGCTGCCTCCCCTCACTCCTGCGAACCTCCGCGTGCTGCCATCAAATCCCAGCAGTTGCAGCATCCGAGTGAAACGGTTGCAAGACCATTCAAAAGATGCAGGTTCAAGCAAAGCAGTTGTGACTCAAGGATTGAAGACATGAAGTTTCTTGCACCCTCTGAGAACGATAAAGCTTCGGTTTTATCTTTAACCTCAGAAACTCACCTCAATTTGACAGACAACCTGACCAAGGACCGGTCGGGTACTAAGGACAAAGGCGCAGTCAAAAATGACAACACAGAATGCGACTTTCGCCCTGACACTGCTCCATATCCTCGACACCTCAAGCGGCTGGATGCTAAGACGCTTGCCAAACCGCAAGGACCTCAGGTATGGGTTTGTCCGCTGCCTGACTGCCGGCATGAAATCAGAATTCCTGCAGGTTTGCAAGCGAGAGCCAAGCTTCAAGCTGCAAAAAGTTCACACCTGAAAAATAGACATACAGATTCCGAAAGAGCTGAATGCCCGCGACTCGGTGCTCAAACTCAGATCACAGTCCCGACCTCGGAACTTCCTGAAAGTGGCAGAGCCTGGAGTTGCCCAGAATGCGGGAAAGGACTCCCACTGTTGCCAAAAGTTTGGCACGAAGCTAGTGTCCGCAAACATTTTGCCGAGGCACACCCTGACACAAATCCAACTCAGGCGTACAGGAAGAAACAAAGAACTGACAAAGGCCTTCGAGCTCGTATGAAACTGCGAGGCAGACATATAGGTCAGCTCAAACAACAGAAGGTCGCTGACAACCTGAAAGTTTGGGCTCCGCAAACGGGGCATGATGTTCGCCAAATTCTTCTCAAACATAACCCCAAAGAAGAGAGACGCAAACTTGATTTGACGTCCGTGCTTGTTTGTGCCAAATGCAGACGAAAAGGGACACCATGTAGATTCAAAACCACCGCATGCACTGATGAAACTCAACCTATCCCGACTCAATTGCTGGGTTGGATCCGAAACATGGCTTTGCGACACCCTGCGAACCAAGGTGCCATCAGAAACGGACTTGGTATGACTGAAGCCGAGGTTGCAAATGCAAACTTCCAAACCAAAAAAAGAGTCAACGGTAAAGGGCCAGCCAAGTGGCTTAGCGGTCCGTTTGCCACCACTTTTCAGGCGGCGCAAGCTGCAGGGCACTTAGTTACTGAGGTCCTTCCGCCGGATGCCATGCGCCACCCGGACTCCACTGCTAAAAAGTTTCCCAAGGGATACCTGACCTGTAAAATTTGCCACAAGGTTAATCCACTTGGTGCTGTCAAAATCTGGACGAATCCATGCCTGGGACATGATCCCACCTCCAAAGGTTTCCAGTCTCAGAAAAGATATTGGCAGTCTTTAACTAAAACCCAAAAAAAAGCCCTCAGTCAAGCATGGGGGAAGACTCTGCAGCAGGGGGAGGAGCTTTTTGCCTCCCAATCCTCCAACAAGCGCAGCCGTAGAGCCAAAGAACATGACCATAATGATAAGGTTGCTGTGAGAATTGGTGAAGCGTCCCATCCAGGACCAAGATCACGAAAATTGCGCAACTTGGATCAACATGTGTCAGTTTGGACATGCAACACTCAAGGACCCAAACAATCGTGGACCTTACAACAGCTGCTCCAAACCCAGGAGCAGGCACCTCAGATTGTGCTGCTTCAGGAATGCTCTTTTAGCCAGGCTGAATGGACCACATTTCAAAAAACTTGTTGGTCTGTGGGGTACAGAAGTTTTTTCTCCGGTGCGCAAAGCACCGTCAATCGACACTACGGAGGAGCTGCAGTCTTGGTTAAATCTTCACTACCTTGTAGACCGGCCTGGTCACACACTCACAAAGGAGGTAGTGCCCAAGCTGTGTGGGTGGGATCAACTCTGGTCATCTCCACTTACCTGGCTCCTAACAGTGATGCAGAAACCGTGAGTGCAGCTGTGGCTCAAACTGTCCACTCTCTCGCTCCAAGACATCGTTTTATTTTGGGGGGGGATTACAATGCCACACCCGAAGAGAATCCCTTTCTTCATTTCTTGATTCCTAGGGAATTTCGTATTCATGCCACTCAAACCCCAACGCGGTGGCAAGGAAACCGCGATATTGACTACTATATCAGTAACCTTGAGCCCACTGAGGTCGAAACGCTTCCTGATGTTGTAGCCGACCACAAAATTGTCAAAACTTTTTTCGATTTATCTACCGAACCTGTTTTAGGTTTCCAACAAGCCAACATTCCTAGAATCCTCCCGAAGGACCCGGAAGTTGCTGAACGAATCCAAATCAAATTGGCTCAGCTCTGGCCGCAGTTTTCCACACAACTTCCAGAGCGATGGTCAGTCAATGTTGACCAGGACTGGCAGATGCTTTCGCAAACTTTTTTCAAGCCCTAGTTTGTGCAGTCAGGGCTGCTGCCCCTGACATGCTGCAGCGAGTGTCTCCGGCCTTACTGAGGAAAGGAAAGGCCACTGAGGTCTCTCTTAAACAGAAAGAACACATGAAACGACATCCTGCTGGAGCTATGGCTACTCACCGCCAAAGAGTTCTGCGCAGATTGATTGGAAGGTTGCGGGAAGCCCAGCGAAACTTGGATCAAGACAGGCAAAATATCACTGAAAGCCGAGTTCTCTGGAATAAAATCAGACGGTGTTCTATGTACAACCATGATTGGGGTATACAAAGAAACCTTCGGCATCTTGAAACGCTTTTGGAACGGTTCAATCATGAAGATGACTACACCAGACTTCAACGATGGAGAAACAACATGGAACATGACAAGGCTGCATACAGGTGGCTGCGACATAGATCTGTTCCCATGTGCAATGCGGTTAAGAAAACCAAAGACTCTGTTCCTAGTCACTCCACCCAAGACAGCCTGAGGATTCTCAGGGAATTTTGGGCCGATATTTGGAATAGACGTCAAATCTCTTGGGATGATATTTGGGATGATTTGGTTACTCACACTCCACCACGCCCTGCTCCTGACAGCTGGCCAAGCCTCACACCGGAACAACTCCGTTCTGCCACCAAGTGTAGCCGCGGCAGTGCGCCGGGGCTTGACGGCTGGAGAGCTGAGGAACTTAGTTTGTTCAGTGACGAAATGTGGCAGGTCATGTCCGGGTTCTATGATCATTGTGAAGAGCTCGGAAACATTCCTACCATATGGCGATGTGTTCGCCAAGTGCATATCCCGAAAGGGAAACCACCTGAAGCTGACGGCAGCATGCTGGCGGACAACATGCGTCCCATAGCTGTGATGTCGATAATCTGGCGAATCTGCAGCCGAGCCAGATTCAAACAAACTGAGGTTCAGGAATGGATCCACACATCCACCCCCGAATTCATGTTTGGGGGAATTCCCCAAAAAGGTGTTGAGGATGCTATCTCTCACATAATCCTCAAAGACATGCATAGCTGGCCGGTTGGTACACTTGACCTGACAAAAGCTTTCGATTATTCTGACCCTGAGATAATCTGCAAACTCTTTGTCCACCAAGGTATGCCGCGCAAAGCTGCACGCATGTTGTTAAGCATGTGGAGCGAACAAATCCGTTTTCTTCAGCTCCATGACGAATTTTTCCCAAACAACCATGTTGTCAAGCGCTCCCTGCCGCAAGGTGACTGCTTTAGCATGTTAGGCATGTGTGTTTTGCTTACTCCCATTGCCAATCACATTCAGAGAAAATACCCTTGTTGCGTTCAAGCTTTATATGCCGATGATCGTTCTTTCACTTGTTCCACTGCGACTGAAATATGGCAAGTTCGAAATGAATGGCATGTTTGGAGCAATAAGGTTGGTCTTCAAGAAAACCCCACCAAAGAGCAATATTACCACCGCAACGTTCAAGGTTGCCGATCTCTCGAGGATGCCGGCTGTCCTCCAGAAACAGTTTCCACTTCCATCACCTTGTTGGGATTCCAGTTCATGGGAGTGACCCAAAGAAAAGCCAAAGACCGAGAACTGACAAGACTCACTGAGGCCAAAGAAGTTCTTCGAAAATGTAGGTGCCTCCCAGGTTCCAAAACACGTAAAGCTGCAGTTGCCAGGGTTTGTGCCCCAGCAAAAGCAAGTTGGGGATGGCTGTTTCGAAGACCCACTCATGCTGAAAGCAACGCTTTCTTTCAGGGAGCAAAAGCGCTGCATCAGTGGCCAAAGCAGTCAGCCGTACCTTTACTCCAAATTTTTACTGGCCATTGGTGGGACTTAGGTTTTGCTGCCACGGTTACGACTCTCCGAGTCCTCACCCGCTATGTTCACAAAACACAGATGCAGTTGCAAAACTGGCCACCCAAAATGAGTGGCTGGACGGGTAGCTTTAGAAAAGGCATGCAAGAACTTGGGTTCGCTGAGGCTGGTAGTTGGACCTGGACGCACCCGATGCTTGAAACTATTCAGATTCAACCAACCACGCTGCCTGAAAAGGCGACCGAAGTGCTGTCACATAGGCTCAGAGATGCTTGGCGAATCAGAAAATATGAGGAATTCTTGGAACTTGACCGACGCGACTCAACGGTTTGTGCAGACATTCCATGTGACCTGACCCGCATTAATATTCTGCGCAAGAAAAAACTCAACAGTCACGAACTGGCTGTTGTAACTGGTGCTTTCATTTCACCTCAATGTCGAAATGCCATGGGAGGTGCTGAAGAAACATGCCCTTATTGCCAACATGTTTGTGCCACTGTGCAGCACATGCTTTGGGAATGTACTCAGAACCCACACCGTGATCCTACTATTAGACCCCACGATGTGCTGCAGGAAAGACTCGCATGGCCCACTACTGATCCTACTAAGGTGGACCATGACAACAAACTTCTAAGGTTTGCAGCTGCAACACGTGCTGATGTGTTGCAGCAGCGCCACGACGACTAGAACCACCTCCATTCTATTCTGGCGATCGCCTCTGGCCTGCGCTGCGGCTGCGGGCAAGTGCGGGCAGCGTCATTGTCTACATCATCATCATCATCATCTCCGCGGCCCAGGTAACTGGTGTTTTCTGCCAGAATGCGATAGAGTCTGCATCGCTGGATCAGGCGCATCTTTGCTGTCGCTGTCAGTTTTTGGAGCTTAGCGATGAAACTTCGCAGCCTTTTTCAAAAACGGTAGCAAAATCCTTGATACTGATGCAAAACTTAATTTTCTAATTTGCATAATGATGTCTCCAATGCGGGCAGTTGAGCCACGCCATGTTGCGGCGCATTTGCGTGTCCAGGAAATGGTTATTGAGGCGCAGCTCAAGTTCCTTGGGCCAGATCCGAAATGTTTCACGAGAGTGTCCGGGTTGTGTCCCAAGGAATCTTGAGCAGGATATTTATGCATAGTTTTGTGCTTTGCGGTGGCCTTGTCTTGGCCAACAATGGAAGCAGAGACGCCAAGATCACACGCAGTTTGGTTTTCTTTTTCCCAGGGTGGTCCATGTCAATTTTTAAGACTGTAGGAAACCTTCCGCCAGTGAAAAATTGCCAGGTTTCTTGATCAAGTGAAATTGTGCCATGTGCGCTCACATGTTTTGGTGTTTGATATTGTTACTTGTGCAAGTGTGCTTCTCAGACGAAAACAACGGCCGTCTTTCTCCTTGGTGCATATCTGTTTGAGGTCGAAGAAGATGTACACCGATCAAGTTCGGACCTTGTTCCACCTCATGGATGAGGCGTGTTGCATCTGCCGGATGCGGTAGTTGCTCAATCTTCGCCCAGTGGTAGTGATCATGGCCCATTCAGTTCAAATCAAGTTGATGCTTTTTCGGCTGCCAATATACATTTTCCACCATCGCCATCTTCATTATCATCTTCTTGATCGTCATCGTCATCGTCATCATCATCATCGTCGTCATCAGCGTCGTCATCCGCATCCTCATCCTCATCCTCATCATCATCATCATCACCATCATCATCTTCATCTTCATCTTCATCATCATTATCATCATCATCATCATCTTCATCTTCATCTTCATCTTCATCATCATTCTTCAGCTGTGCGGATTTAGGGGCAGGTGAAAACACCTATGGACCCAGAACTTTTTTCCCGCAGATAGCCATGCTAATGTGGTTCTTGCTTCAAGTACAGGGTGAGTTGGTCATGTGCGTTTTAGGCATGTTGGTGCTGCTGTTAGAGTGGTGTGTGCGCTTTGGAGCTGGCTTGCTGGTGCTGCTGAGGGTGCTGCTGTTAGAGTGGCGTGTGCGCTTTCGAGCTGGCCTCTGGTGCCGCTAGGGTGCTGCTCCAGGGTGTTGCTGTTAGTGCGCTCTGGAGCTGGCATGTTGGTGCTGCTGCAGGGTGCGGGTGCAGGGTACTATTGTCAAAGGGCTGTCTGCATCTTGGGTACTGCTGTCAGAGTGCTGTGTGCGCTATGAACCTTGGGTGCCGGTGTCGCTGCAGGGAGTGGCTGCGAGATGTCTATGGCAGTGTGTGCGTTGGGCCATGATGGAGATTACGTTGATGCCGTAGAAGAAAAGGCGAGCGCTTGGTTGCCACAAAAAAAATCTTTTGCTCTCTGGGGTCTATGCTGGCATCGTTTATGGTGTGTTGATGTGGGTGAAAACTATATTTAACACATCTACCACTGCACACATGCAGGTGTAAATACACAGGTGTGAGATGTCGGTGGCGATATCGTTGGATCTACAATTGTGAATTTGCAGGTGTATAGATGCAGGTGCAAAAATTGGCACGTCTACAAGTGTAGATATGCAGGTGTATAGATGCAGGTGCACAGATCTTCTAGACTACACCTACGCTTTTAAATGTTTTGAAACTTTTTTATTTTCAGGCAACAGCACGGTGCAGATCGATGCTTGCGAAGTGCACCTGTCTCGCACGAATTGCGCATCTATCCTCAATATTTTTTTTGATTTGGTGAGCCTTTCCATCGCCAATGCGTGTTGGTTCATCAAAAAACAAGGGTAAAAATTGCCATTTGGTTGGCCTTTGATGAACCGTCCCCGCGCGAAAACGCACGAATGGCTTGTCGATTGCCAAGAATTGAGGTTAAATTGCGATTAGGTCTGAGCATGGTGATCCGGGTTTGTGTGAAACGCGTGTCGGTCTTTAAAGCCAGACCTCCTTCTCCTTTGGACGCTCCCCTCTCTTTAGAAAATAGGTTAAATGGTTAAATTGCAGTTTGGTTTGTGTTTGGCGGACCTAGTCCGTGCCAAATGCATGTCATTCGGGTGAGCATCTCTATTTTGGGTAGGTCACGTATCGGATACCATGCCTGAAGATTGGCCGGCAGGACCAATCCGGAGAACTCTCTGCCCACGCATTCGAAGAACACATCAATGAGCCTCAGGCAGGATGGGCGGCCACTGGTAGTAGCTGCAAGAAGATTTTGCGAAGAGCGAGAAACGAAAACGGGATGTCACGCCTACTTTGCAATTTTCATCCTAAATTTATATTTCCATTTTGTGGGAAAAATTGCAAGGGATGATTTTGGCAGGTGGATTTCATTTCAGTCGTCAGCTAGCTTCAAAGATATCTCCAAGCGTGCGCATCATGTACTCTTGCGTTTTGCCTCAGCATGGTGTTTCTCTTTTTGATTCTTTGTTGGCACTTGAGTTTGTTCTGCTTCAGTTCTGGACCCAGAGTGGTGCAGGTTGCGGCATATTTCCGGGCATTGGACATGGATTTGAACAATGCTTGGAAGCTGCCCGAAGCCAACAGGGCAGAATCAACTTATGATAACGGAAGAACAAACACGTGGACCCACCGTTCTTGCTACAAGAGTTATACACAATCTTGGGGCGGAAGACCAAGGGTCAGATGGCCTTGCGACATGGTGGAATTTGCGCGAAAACCTAGGACAGTCTACCACCACACCCTGCCCTGTATGTTGATGCTGTGCAACCGAGGCTTTTTACTTTACTCGATCCCGCCACTTGGCGTGAAAGAGGTGTGTGACAGAGGTCTGCATCTTTGGAGCTAGGTTTGCCAGACTGCAGAATACCAAGGTTGGATATAGGTCAGGGTTCCCGGTGTGGAATTGGATAAGGACAACTCTGGCACCATCGATCTCACCGAGTTTGTGGAAGGCCACCATGCAGCTTGCGAAGGGGAGGGCGGAGCGGGTTGATGCGCACAGGCGGCGCGCATCGTACTGCCAGGCTGCTTGAAGCTTCGTGGCCCGGCGACCCGCTTGGACATAGAAATGGTGCTCAGCGTCGCAAGGCGCAAGGGAAGCGCAGGATGCCCTGCTGGAACTGTTTCTTCCGCCTGATACCCATGAAGCAACAGTAAAGGTATATCGGATCTCCAATGTGGAAGTTGAGACAGATTGGTTGATATCCATCTCCTTCCTTTCTTTAGTGGGGGTAGCCTGGATTGGCGCAAGCGATCTGAACTTTGAACCATGTCAGCCAAGGCTAGGAGAGCGCCCGCAACGCGTTGGGTTGCGTTTGAGGGATGAAATTTGTATTGCACGTTGGCAGTGTTTTATAATACGTTCCAGTCTGGATGGAAAGCAAGTCATTTTTGAAGTTCGGGCCGGACTTCGCGCAAGCACGATATAGTTAATTGTTCCCGTGGGGTGGTTGTCTGGTTCTTTATTACCGGAGGAAGTTTAGAAGTCAAACTTCCGACAATATATATAGATGGAAAAGCAGAGGTGGGAAGAGTCAGAGAAGAATCAGAAGAAGAAAGATCAGAGAAGAGAAAGAGCCAGAAGAAACAAGATCAAGGTGCGCGAAAGAATATATATATATAGAAAAGTCGCGAAACGCTGTGTTTTTGTCGCTCCAGAGGCTCGAAAGGTAGGCTCCATCTGGGGAGATGAGAGATGAAAAATTGCACGCTGTTGTGGCGCGAAGCAGATTTGGACGTCAAAATGCTAAAAACACCTCAGTGTTGGAGCGCTTTTGGAAGCTCAGATGTCCAAAAAAGTGCACGCCATTTTGGAGCGAAGCACATTTCGAAGTCAAAATGTACAAAACACACCAGGTTCGGACCACTTTTGGAAGTTGAGATGATGAAAAAGTGCATGGCGTTGTGGGACGAAGCACATTTCAACGTGAAAATGTGCAAAGTACAGGAGGTTGGGAGCATTTTTGGAAGTTGAGATGTTCAAAAAGTGCACCGTTGTGGCACGAAGCACATTTTGATGTCAAAATGTGGAAAACACACCGCGTTGAGACCACTTTTGGACGTTGAGATGTCGAAAAAGTGCACGCCATTGTGGCGCCAAGCCCATGTCGATTCCGACCACTTCTGGTCGTACATTACACTACATTACACTACATTACACTACATTACACTACATTACACTACATTACACTACATTACACTACACCGCACTACACCGACTTGCACCCCACTACACCGCACTACACCGCACGACAGCGCACGACACCGCACAACAACAGCAGCAGCAACAACAAGAACAGCAACAACAACAACAACAACAGTTCCAGTTACAACTGCAGCTACAAGTACAGCTACAGCTACAAGCGCCACAACACAACACTACAACTACCAGTACCACTACCACGACCGCTACACTGCAACTTCAACTACACCTACAACTGCAACCACAACTACAACTACAACTACAAGTACAACTACACTGCAGCTACAGCGACAACTACAACTACAAGTACAACTACACTGCAGCTACAGCGACAACTACAACGACAACAACAACAACGACAACGACAACAACCACAACCACAACAACAACAACAACAACAGCAACAGCAACAGCAACAGCAACAGCAACAGCAACAGCGACAGCGACAGCGACAGCGACAGCGACAGCGACAGCGACAGCGACAGCGACAGCGACAGCGACAGCGACAGCGACAGCGACAGCGACAGCGACGACAACAGCGACGACAACAACAACAACAATAACAACAACACCTGCACTACAACTACGATTAGAACTGCAACTACAACTGCAGCTACACTACACTACAGTACCTCCGCACTACATCCAGGAGTTGTGCGTGAGGTGACCACTGCAACCACCCCAAAAAACACAA